GATTTATTTTCTTTTATTGTTGGAGTTTTATGAGGCATGGCCTGTACCCTATTGCCTGAATATTCTTATCAGTAAGAATTAGCTTATTATTTGGGAATAATGGGTGAACTCGTTTTGCTCATTTGGTTGAACTAAAGAGCAATGAACAAGCTTTAAAGGCTTCGTATCCCAATAACTCCAGTTCTTGGGGCGGAAAAAAACTTGTATACTTAATCTTATATGTTTAAGATGATTGTTTTTAATTAAATCATGACACATGTAACATTTATTGATTATTTATTTTATGGTAAATTTTTATTATTAATATTATTAACACGTTAAAATCTATTTGTTTTGATTTAATTTGATAAAAATACCTTAAGTATATAAGGTTAAGTATTATTTTTATCAATGATTAATGAAGTGGGGATTTGGACAAGTATTTGTTATTTGTTTTGGATATGTTACTGACAATATCAATCACATTTTAGTCGAGGATCGAAATGTTGTCTTGGATCATGTTTATAGGAAAAAAATGAATGTGTTAATTTAAAATCTCAATAATTTTGCATTTCACTGGCCCATGTAAGAGGTTAATTAAAGGAGTCTAATTATATGGTTACCTACTTAGCTTCATATTTCCATGAATAGGTTATGGGCGAAAGAAAAGAATACATATATCCGTACCGATTGTGTTCCAAGAACAAGCTTGCTTTGTTTGATTGATGTAGTTATTTTTTTTTTTTTTAAATATAGATTTGATTGATATAATATGATAATCTATACACAGCACTTTGTTAGAGGCAGACTTTTCAACGAGCCACAGTAGAAAGCCATCTTCGGGAGACCCGGCCAACCATAACCCTGAGGGCTGAGGCCCCAATGACCTATTATCTACTATTTAGGCTCTTTTTTCGTTAGCTTATTTATATTTATGCTGCGTGTTTACATATTACCCCCTTCATTTATAAATATAAAATATTTTTAAAAAATTAAATATTAAAAAATATAAAATATTTTTAATCTTTTAAAGTGTAATTATTATCTTTTTTAAAAGTATCCTGTTGATAATAATTTATATTTATTGTAGGGTGTTTAATAAAAATAAATATAAAAAATAAAATTAATTTAAAAATAAATAACTATTTTATTAAAAAATAAAATTTAATTAAAAATAACTTTGGAGTATTATTTAGTAAAAAAAATTTTGTTTTGTACATTTGTATATTGCGCTGTACTGACATGGTATCAACCGCTGCTTATCTTAAGGTCAAGATGCTTACAATTAAAAGTTTTGTTTCTTAATGATAGCCAGCAGTCCGCTGATTGTTTCTGGAAGCTAGTTATTGCGTCTATAAGCATTTAAATCTTGCCACGGGAGATATTGCATGATACTATATGTTAGAGACAGACAGATATTAATGAATTTAAGGTTTACGATTAAACAACGTAACATGTGACGCGGCATCCGTGTTCGTGTCATGATTTCGGATCTGACTTTATATCTTCATATCCATTGTTCAAGCCAAGGACTTATGCGGAAATTTTGAGAATATCAAATATACATATTCAAATATATAGAACATAAGTTGCACTTATTTAAAAAAAAATCATGTATATAGTAGAAGACATATGGAGTATCACTGCATCCAACATTTAAACCATGCATCCAAATTTCAATTTTCAAGATATGCATAACTCATTCTAATATGCACCTTATATTTGAATATACATTTCACATATTTTAATTTTTTTTATTTTTTATGAAAATACTAAAAAATATTTAAAAAAACGTAAATGAATATTCTAAAAATTTTCTTATTTTTTTATAAAAATATATATATGAATATTTTAAAATCGCAAATGGATATTTTCAAAATTCTCATTTTTAATGCAAATAGATATTCTAAAAATGTTCTTATTTTTCATGAAAACATATATAAATATTCTAAAAATACAAATAAATATTTTAAAAATTTCTCATTTTTTCATGAAAACATATATGAATATTTTAAATTTTTACATTTCCAATACATATCCTTAAATTCAAGTTGTGAAATAAAATCTTTCAAATCCAACAAGTAAGTGAAAAAATTGAATTGAACTTTATTTCATTAAAATATTAAAATTACAGTCACTTGGAACTGTTTTAACAATCAATAGTTACAAGTCAAACTACAGTCTATAGACAATCACACTATAGTTGCAATGTATAAATGGTCCCTCTTTTATAATTAGACAAGTCAATTGATATCACAATTGATGAATAACACAACCCAAAATAATAATCCCTATCAACATAGTTTTTGAGAGCCTAAATAGAAATGAATTTCCTCTAAAATTATCATTGTTGTTACATTTAACTTTTCAACAACCATCCTAAGTGAAAGAGTTTTTGACTTCTTTGGCTTCATTGCTTCCAGACTTCCAAGCACCCCAATTAGTGTTTGAGTTTTCTCCATCAGCCAATCCACTTTTTTAAACATTTCCTTGACTTCATCTCACTGTTGGACTTTTATTTGATGTTTTATCCATATTCTAAGAAAATTGACCGCTTTGCTCTCCAATATTCTTGTCATCATCCTTGCCTCTTGATTCTCTCAAATCTACAATGCTTCTATCTTCTCCAAACCCAATCCCATGGAAACCACCATGAATATGCAAATAAATAAGAGTAACTAGTGAATATAACCTTGCCTTTTCTCAATATAAGATATATGCGCCCACTATGATAATCTTACCAAGCCACCCCACAACTCAAAAAATACAACATGACTATAAAAAGGTAAAAATGTAACATCTTATAATAGATAACATGCCTTTATATAGGCTCAATCAAACAAAATTTCACAAGGACAAGCAACTTTAACATAAAGACAAAGCAATATAAACTTAAGGTTCAAAGAGTTCTTGTTAGTTAAACTCAATCAAATCTAAAACTAGGAGCAGTAACACCTCTAGTGAAATTGCTGTATCACTTTGAGCATTCAAGACAAAATCTCTGTAATTTTTTATGGTTCTGAATTCTTAAAAAACATGTCTTTGCTAGCTTATCTCATGCTCTCGTGTCACTATATACTACCTGTTATTGATATTGATGTTGTATTGGGTGGAGGAAGGCAAGGGATCACCATTGATATAAGCATGATAAAGCCTTCTTAAAAACATTCATCAAATGAGTAGTTAGTTGTACAGAGGTAGAAGGAATAAAGGAAAAAAAATAACACGCAAGTTTAGCTCTAAAACATAATTACAAGGCAACAAAATATGGGCATTAAATGCCCTAACATTTAGAAATTGAAGAAACTAATACAATCCATGCATAAAATGCTAGAGAAAATGTCAAGGCAGCTATAATGAAAGATTATGGACTTGAGGTTCTTTATTGGTTAAAAATCTATATTGTATTCCCCAACACTTTCCAGTAACATGAATCACATAATTAATTAATGCAAATTTAAACAAAACAAGGCAAACTTGCATAGATGGCCAAACACTTGTGTGTTTACAAAAACAATAGGAGAAATGTTTGTCACATTACAAAAATCAGATTTCTCTAGTCATCAATAAGTATGGTAAGAGAAAGGAAACTTATAGAAGTCTTGTATTACTCGATAAAAAACAACTTAAGTGGTACAACCTGCAACTTTTGGTGATTGAAGTGGCGTGATTTGAACGTTTAACAATTAGATTTGAATGTTCAGTGATTGAGCGACATAATTTAGAATAGACCAGCTTCAAATGAAGAAGCAGTGGCAAACGAAATTTAATTACTCAATTTGAATGAATAATACTAAAATCACATTAGCGACAGTGGTGGAGTGATTCACACATCAAAACAACACTCATGGACACAGTGTAAAGCCACCTTTACTAATATAACACATAACCATAATCTCCTAGGTAATCATTAGACTAACTCAAATGAGTTGTCTAATCATTGTTAACCATTTTTAAATTATTTTCCAAATTCGGATGTATTTATTTTCAAAATTAAGATACCAAGTTTTCATAATTTTAAAATACTTAAATTTAATTCCAATCAATTCAAATCATATTAGAAACAAGTATAGAGGCATAAGATATATTTGGTGGTCAAAACATTAAAAACTAATAAAAGACTTCAAGTGGAACTACACAGAGGGATGTGTTGCAATGCATGCACATGTGTCAAGGCTTGTCCCTCATTGCAAAATTTGATAGCGGTTGTGTTGTCATAATAATGACATAGGGACAAACTTTCATCACACCCTATTTCTCCATCTGATATTCGACTTAGGTGTTTTAGGTGTCTACAGAAAACTTTTTTCATACTCTAGCCAACGAGGTTCTACTTCTAAAATATGTTACACAAAGGAGTTTAATACCCAAACCTATTTTCACATTTTTCACAATATAAAGAGTGTCTAAAACCCAATATTATACCAAAAGCTACAACCAACACTTAAAATACACTCAATAGACTTAGGATTGTCTATGTAACACACCATATAAACAATATGATACTTAACTTCCAATTTTAACTCTCAACCCCTTAGTTTCTAAAACAAAAGGAGGAGATCTAGAATTTGCGTTTAACTAATATTCATGCACAATGGGCATTATAAATCATCCATATACTTATGCTAGTATTTTAGCTCTACATAAATCAACACATGACATATGTATAAACTCAAGGCCCAAAATACAACATTCTTAAACATGCATCATAATAGTGCAAGTATAGGTTCAAATATGTCTTTAGTTGGCAATGTCATAAAGTTACACATAAATCAAAACGAATTAGGAGGAATTAGAATAGGAATAATCAATTCCTAAACCTTTGGAGTGTTTTCCTTTTCAATGTAACACCCTCAAATTTACAGACCGATTTTTTCGCAAATTATTAAAACCATTATCATGGTAGAAAAATTTCTACCACGATACATCCAAGACAATATACCACAGGTCTTAAAATATCTAAAAAAAACAATTAGAACCATGAGGGACAGACATGATCCTCATAGCATGTTATTCAAATCAGATCATAAATCAAGAGGGACAGACATAATCCTCTTGGTCATATAAATACTTTTAATAAAAAGGATTAGAGTTTACATGCTTCACAAAGAAGATATGTCCTAAGTTGGCACAAGATACATTGTATAATCTAAAATAAGAGGCAACGTAAAAGATGGTGTCTCATACACCACAGTTACACCTCTGGTGCTTTCTCGGCCGGACTCGCTCCTGTAAAAATATTAACCACGGGGAATGAGACTTAAAAGTCCCAGTAACCAAAAATTAATATGTAATGATGCATGCGGATGTAACTAATCATGCGATTGCTAAGTGGGCACACAAAACATTTAACCGAACAATACTTTCAAACAAACCGAACAAGTATTTAATTTGCATGACTGCACCTTATATCCTCCTTTCGCCATGCTCGGACGCCAAATCACCCGGCCAAAGGTGAGTTGGACCAAGCGACACGCCACTCATTGGGTCCAATGAGGGCTTACCACGTGGTAATAATTAACCGAACAGAAATTCCCATTAACACCATACATTAAAATACCCTGACAAGTCATGCATCATTCAAATATCCAAACAGGAATATATCCGAACAATAATATCTCATCATGATAAACAAAAATAAATTTTTAACCCACTTGGCAATAATTTCAAACAAGTATATACAGTATTTATTTTCAATAATTCATAATTTTTCCAAACAACAAAACAACACATAACCATTCACAAACACACTCATCACAACACATTAATAATGGTTACCTTGTGTCTTGAATAACAAGTTCCCCTTCACAACTCCTTTTTCACCACTATCTTTGTCAATATAATCTACATAATTATTTCACAATACTATATATTAATTTTACATTAAAATAAATAACTCTAATTTAAAGAGTTAGAAAGTCTTAAATCTATAGTCCATATTAACACTAATTTAAGATTTATGCCTCATTTAACTTCCCAAATTCTTTTCTAAAATTCTCGTACCCTAATGAACTATTTTTTTTATCCTCAATTCACTTCTAGTATCACAATTTCATCCTTCTACATTCTAAAAATTCATCCAAAAATAAATTAAAAATTTTAGAATTATCCTGAAGCCTCAAATCACCTTTCTATAACCTCAAAAATACCTATTCATACTTAAATAAATATTTAATAATCATAGATTTATCCCTACATCTCAGATTCCACATAAATTCAACCATATAGATCTAGATTTTAACTCAAAAATTCTTAAACATGAGTTTCAACCTCAAGAAAATATTCTATAATATTTACTATATCCCTAAGAATTTTAACCTATATTTTTAATCCATCATATCATCAGATTAACTATCCTATAGAAAAATCCTAATCAAAATATTTACTCTATCCTACAAAATAATCATATCACTAGAAAGCTAATATTATTTAGAAAATAACTATAAAATTAATTTTGTAATTAAATAAATTTTTAAATGCTAATCTAAACAGGAAAGTTAGAACATACCTGAAGAAAAAAGAAAATAATCCCCCCTTGCGAGAAAACGCCGAGCAACGTGAGAGGAAGAGAGAAAAATAATATAAAAATGGGATTGTGAGTCCCAAAATTATATTAAAAAAAACTATAGGTTTGAATTTAATTATTCAAACCTTTGGGCCCAAAGTTGCAATTTTTCTAAATTGCATCTTAGCCTCTCATGCTTCCTAATGCACACACCCCCTCCTTTTTATACATGAAGGCACCTCTTCTCTTCCCTCATCTAACCAATGTGGGACTTAGAAACAACAACCTTCCACCCCCCCTTTTTTTTGTTCCTTCTACCTTCTCTTTTTTTTTAACACACACATAAAAAAAATTATTTATGTATTATATCTTAACTAAATATTGCTTATGTGGTTTTAAATTTAAATTTTTAAATTCATAATTAAATACCTAATCATAATATTATTTCTAAATAACCTCAAATAATATAAATTCCTATTATTATCATTTTTTTCCTCAAAACCTAAATTCCACAATTTCTTTATTATATAAAAATCAGGATGTTACAATTCTCCCCTCCTTTTAGAAATTTTGTCCTCAAAATTTAATAGATAAGCTTAGAAACTATGTACCTAAGCAAATAAATGTGGATAATCTCGCCTCATACTCTCCTCGGTCTCCCAAGTAGCATCACCTAGGGCTCCACCCTTCCAAATCACCTTCACGAGTCGGATGGTCTTATTGCGTAGTTGTTTGTCCTTAAAGTCCTCAATTCGCTCCGGTTCGGATCTAAAGGTCAAATTCTCCCTCAATTCTACTTCTTCAGGTTCAATAACATGGGAGGGATCCGGGTTGTACTTCTTCAACTGTGATACGTGGAACACATTATGGATACCTGCAATCTGTGGAGGTAATGCAACTCTATATGCAGTAGATCCAATTCGCTCCAAGATCTCATACGGGCCCATAAATCTAGGTGTCAATTTCTTTGCCTTAATGGATCTACCAATGCCTGTCACTGGAGAAACCTTCAAAAATACATGATCTCCTACTTCAAACTCTAACGGCCGTCTCCTCTTATCAGCATAGCTCTTCTGTCGGCTCTGAGCGGTTAGCAATTTTTGCTTAATCATTGCAATCTTCTGGGTGGTTTGCTCTACAATTTCTGGACCAATGATACTCCTCTCACTTAATTCTGTCCAACATAAAGGCGATCTACACTTCCTTCCATACAAGGCCTCATAAGGCGCCATCCCAATACTAGAATGATAGCTGTTATTATAAGCAAATTCAGCTAATGGCAAATGATTATCCCAACTACCTGGTAGTTCAATGGCACAAGCTCTCAACATGTCCTCCAAAGTCTGGATCGTCCTCTCTGTTTGTCCATCTGTTTGGGGGTGGTATGCGGTGCTAAAACTCAGTCTGGTACCCATAGCCTTCTGTAGCGCACCCCAAAAGTTTGAAGTGAACCTTGGGTCACGATCTGACACAATTCTAGAGGGTATACCATGAAGTCTAACTATCTCCTTAATGTATATCTCAGCAAATTTCTCTAATGTAGAGGTAAACTTGATCGCCAAAAAGTGAGCTGATTTGGTGAGTCGGTCTACTATCACCCAAATAGCATCCTTACTCGAGGGTGTTCTTGGCAGTCCAGTGATGAAATCCATAGAAATATCATCCCATTTCCACTTTGGAATATCTAACGGTTGCAGTGTTCCAGCTGGCTTCTGATGTTCTATCTTTATCTTCTGACACGTTAAACATCTAGAAACAAATTCAGTTACATCTTTCTTCATTCCTGGCCACCACCAACCTCGCTTCAAATCATGGTACATTTTAGTTATACCGGGATGAATTGTATATTTGCTCCTATGAGCTTCTTCTAAAAGGATATTCCTCAATCTTGGATCATTAGGTACACAAACTCTACCTTTATACTTCATCACTGTGTCCTCAGAGATGGTAAAATTTGGGGCCTTACCTACCACTATCTCCTTCCTTATATTCCTTAAGTAGTCATCACTTGCTGTGAGACTCTGAGATCTTCCCAGAATTTGCTCTCAAAGTCTGCTACCTGGAGTGCGGCCATTTGATGTTCAATCACATCTACTGGAACATCATGAAAACTGTTCCATAAATGATATTCATGAACCATCAAATGTGCAGCATGAATAGTCTTTCTACTTAAGGCATCAGCTACCACGTTAGCCTTACCCGGATGGTAATGTAATTCAAAGTCATAATCCTTTAGAAATTCCATCCATCGTCGCTGCCTCATATTAAGCTCTTTTTGATCAAATAAATACTTCAGGCTCTTATGGTCACTGAAGATTTGAAACTTAGATCCATACAAGTAGTGTCTCCATATCTTCAGAGCAAACACAACTGCAGCTAACTCCAAATCATGAGTAGGGTAATTTTCCTCGTGTGGTCTCAACTGTCTGGAGGAATAGGCAACCACTCGGTCATTTTGCATCAAAACACATCCTAAACCCTTTAAAGAAGCATCAGTGTACAGAGTGTACGGCACCACAGGGTCAGGAATAGTCAATACTGGAGTAGTGGTTAACCTCTTTTTCAATTCTTGGAAAGCAGCTTCACATTTGTCAGTCCAAATAAATGGGGCATCCTTCTTAGTCAGCTTAGTTAAGGGCATCGCAATTTGCGAAAATCCCTTAATAAAGCGACGATAATAACCTGCTAGACCTAAAAAGCTTCGTATCTCTGTAACAGATTTTGGCTGTTCCCACTTCATCACTGCATCAATCTTGCTAGGATCCACCGCAACTCCATCTCTGGACACAACATGGCCCAAAAACTTTACTTCTTGGAGCCAAAATTCACACTTGCTTAATTTGGCATAAAGCTTATGTTCCCTCAAAACTTGCAAGACGATTCTTAAATGTTCACCATGAGCCTCCTCATCCTTTGAATAAATAAGAATGTCATCAATAAACACTACTACAAACTTATCTAAATAGGGTCGAAAGATCCTATTCATGTAATCCATGAATACCGCAGGAGCATTCGTAAGTCCAAACGGCATCACCATGAATTCATAATGCCCATATCTCGTCCGAAATGCTGTCTTAGGTATATCCTCTGCTCTCACTCTCAATTGGTGGTACCCTGACCTTAAGTCAATCTTTGAGAAAACTGCGGATCCCACAAGCTGATCCAGCAAATCATCGATTCTCGGAAGTGGATATTTGTTCTTGATGGTTACTTTGTTCAATTGTCTATAATCAATGCACAATCGGAGGCTTCCGTCCTTCTTCTTTACAAAAAGGACTGGAGATCCCCAAGGTGAAACACTCGGTCTGATGAAACCCTTCTCAAGTAGCTCTTCGATTTGCTTTTTCAGTTCCGCTAACTCTGAAGGGGACATCCGATAAGGAGCCTTAGAAATTGGCCCTGTACCGGGTACCAATTCAATTGAGAACTCTACCTCGCGCTTTGGGGGTAAACCGGAGACTTCGTCTGGAAATACATCCGCAAATTCTTTGACAATTGGGATATTCTTCACGCCTTCATCAATCTCAGCTTGGATAGAGAAGAAAACCATGTAGGCCTGGCAACCCTTCTTCATACATCTATCAACTTGCGCCGCCGACAAGAAAACATGATCTTGAGTCTCGACTGGGGTCACCGACAAAGAAGATAAAGACACACTCCTCTCTCTACAATCTAGGATAGCACCATTTGCAGCCATCCAATTCATTCCCACAATTACATCCATACCTCTCAGTGGTAGGATAATTAAGTCCATAGTTGTTTTCCTATTTTTAAACTCGACTACTAGGTTAAGGCATGCCTTAGCGGTCCTCACAGATTCTCCCGCAGGAGTAGACACATTCATATCAAAAGGTAAAATACACACAGGCAAATCAAGGTTCTTTACACAAGTTTCAGAAATAAAAGAGTGTGTAGCACCCGAATCAAATAGTGCAACAATATCATGATGAAGGATTTTGATGTTACCTCTAATGGCATCTGGGGAGTTCATGGTGTCCTGAGTAAGAGCAAACACACGACCAGAGACAGTAGGATGTTGGGAAGGGTTCTTCATATTTGAGCCCTGGTTGTCCCCACAAAACTTTGCAATGTGACCGGGTTTCCCACAAATGTAACAGACCCAGCACTGTCCGAAATGACGACGCCCGCATTTAGTGCACTGTTGAGAGCTCGCTGTACTCGGGGCAGGGGTAGATACTGTTGGGCTCCTCTGTGACCCGTGATAACTACTATGATAGCTCCTCTGTCCTTGGCCCCTTTGAAATGGACCCTTCTGCCTTCCTTGGTTCCATGAGCTACTCGAACCCTGATGGTTTTTCTTCATAATGCCTCCGGTGGGTCGAGGGTAGGTTGGGGGTCTACTATATGAATAACCCCTCTTCTCTCTCTCAACCTCCTTCTTACTGCGAGCTACTACTTGTAGTTTTATGCACATTTCATCATAATCTCGGATATCTAGATGAGCCAATTGTTCCCTCAATTCTGGTCTAGCCTTCTCCAATAAGCGCTTAGCCTTCCATTCGGAATCATCCCTATACTGCAGGTACGTGGAGTATCTAGATAACTCCTGAAACTTAGCAATGAATGTGTCCTCATCGAGGTTCCCTTGCTTAAAGGCATGGAATTCCGCTTCCTTCTCAGACCTTAACTCTGATGGAAAGTAATGCCTGAATAATTTTTCCTTGAATTCCTCCCAGGTGAGTGTAGAATCATCCCTGGGCCCTGCTGTCTCCCACCAATCTCTTGCTCCTTTCACTAGGAGCACTAATGCTACTTGTACTTTTTGATTGCTGGTGCATGTGACTACTCGAAAGATGGATTCGAGTCTCTTCACCCATTCCTCTACCACGGATGGTTTAAGGTTACCATCAAACGTAGGAGGGTTAAACTTCCTAACAGTTTCCCACACATCAGTAATGGTCGGTGGGGCTCTCTGTTCCTCCTGCCTAATTTCTTTCCTTCTAGACTCATGATCTCTCAGAGTGGCAGGATGTGAGGAACTGCCTTCCCCCACATGACTCTCAACATGAGCCCTATCTCCATTTTCAGTTACCTTTTGCCTCTTTAGCTCCGTCAACTCTTGTTCGTATCCTTGAACCTTGTCTGTTAATGTTTTTACAAGCATTCTTAATTCCGCCAAGTCAGGCTCCTCATTTGGCAGTGG